ATCACTCCCACCCCCTCCTTTCTTCCCTAAGCCAGTGATTCTCAACTTGACTGTGGAACAGAACGCTGGCAGAGCTTCTAAAACACAAATTGCTGGGCCCCACCCCAGGAGCTCTGATTCAGTAGCTCTGGGATAGAGCTGAGAATGTGCATTTCTAGCAAGTTTTCAAGTGATGCAGATGCTGCTGGTCAGGGCATCACACTGGATAACCACTGGCATACACCCACCCACACAGGGCCCCCGAGGTCTGGGGGACGCTGCTAGAGAGCAAGGGTGTCTTTCCGCCAGTGCCCGTTTCCCCCAGGTCTCTAGGGGGGCTTCCCCAGGCTGGTGAGGGAGGGCGTGGGCAGGAAGCAGCCCTGTCCCTCCCCTCTGCATCGCCCCACCATCTCTTCCTCTCCCCTCCCAACCCCTTTCATCCTTTCCCAGCCCCTCAAGTCCTCTCCAGAACCCAGGCACAACCAGTTTCCATCCTAGGGCGTTTTCCCAAGATTCCTCTGCCCTCTCTACCAACGCCCATTCAGGAGGCAGTGTTCAAACAGGTACAGGATGCAGGGGAGGATGCCAGCCAGGACGCAGGGGGTGCCAGCCAGTCAAAGAGCACCAGCTGAAAGGCGGCCAGCCCCGGTGGGGCACAGCGCCCCCTGCAACCTGCGCGGCAGGGGACAGGCCGGCAGCTTTGAGCGAAGCTACTCCTGAGCGCCCCCCGCCGCTCCCTGCCACAGTGCTGTCTCCACACCACAGTGCTGTCTCCACGCCAGCTTTGATGTGTCACGTCAGCAGCAGGGCTTTTGGCGGCCGCTTGTTGAAGCCCTGCCAAACTGTCTTAGCAGGAATCAGCTTCCCTCCTTGCAGAGCACTGTGATGCTCTCCTGCCCCAGCCCCCAAAGCCTGGTGTTTGGGGAGAATTAGGGAGAAGCTGACAGAGTGCAGCTAGGCCGCTCCTGGCCACAGAGAAGGCTCAGCCCTGGTTCAGGCCCCTGGCCCCAGGTCTCCCTGCCCGGTGGCACCACAGCACCCAGCTGCTCCTGTGCTGCTTCCATGCACTTAAGGGCAGGATAGGCTGCGTTTGCTGCAATTTGGATTTTTCTGTCTTCCCCTTCCAGTACGCAGTGCTGGCCTGGGTGCCTTCCCAGGCCTGGGGACAGACTTGCTGGTCCGCTAACCCTGCAAGGTGCTGCCCCTCCCTTGAAGGATACTCTGTTTTGCTGCTCCGAGGCAGCCAAGTGGGCAGGTGCCAACCCTGGCTCTGCCCCTGGGGCATCACTTGACTTCTCCCCAGTGGGCTTCCTCACACTGGGATGACATGAGCCTACCTCTTCCTATCCCATCTCCAGGTCCCACTCTCAGGGACCCTAATGTCCCTGTGTCACCTTAGTGAGCGATGCCTGCTCAGAAGCTGTGGGCGTTTTGAGCTACGATGTGAACTGGGGAAGTAGAGCAGTGAGTGGAACAGCTGGGATGCCCTGATCTGTCCCCCAGGCCTCCCTTCTCCAAAAACGGGCTCCTCCTGGTAGAGGAGGAAAACCCAGTGGTTGGCCTTGAGCTCCCTCAGAACTGACGAAGTATCCTTTAGAGAAAACTCCCATTCCAAAGTTACCACTGCTGCTTGGAGCTGACAGAGCAGGTTAGGAGACAGCAGGAACTGCCTCCTGGAGCCTGGGACGGGGAGACAAGAGGGCAGGGAGAGGAGATGATGCTTCAAAGGAAGACAGCGGACCTCACAGGGTAGCACCAGATAAGCACATGGAAGGAGGTGGCAGCAAGAGAAACCCTGGACTGGACAGAGCTCAGGGAATGTTCAAAGGAGCGACGGTGCCTGGTGCTCAGAGTTCCCGGGCTGCAGTCACCTCTGCTACCCCAAGCCTTCAGAAAAGGCCTGTTCCATGCCACCGCTTGGAGCAGTTGACTCAGGAAAGGGAGGCAGAGACTGAGGGCGTTCCCACTTTGTCTCAGCTCAGCCTCCAGAAATGGGAGCAGCAAGGCCAGCTGGAGATGGAGTGGCCAGAAGTGAGGGAGACAGCCAGCAGGACTCGGAAGCAGCATCTGTGGGCTATTTCCCAGAAATCCTCAGAACCAATTGGAGGGGACTGTGTTTCCTGTGTGCAGACAGAGGTAGATGAAGGCTCAAGTTCTTTTCTTCCTTTGAGACAGGGTCTCACTCTGTCATCCAGGCTGGAGGGCAGTGGCTCTATCATGGCTCACTACAGCCTCGATCTCCCAGCTCAACGTCCTGGGTAGCTGGGACTACAGGCACCCACCACCATGCCCAGCTAAAAAATTTTTTTGCTTTTTTGTAGAGAAAGAGAGAAAAAGAAAGATGGCAATCCTCCCACCTCAGAACTGGGCAGGGGAGCACATTTGGCTTTCTCTGGTTGGTCCTAGGTTGGAAGCAGGGACAAAAACTAGAGACACTGCCAGTTATTAATCAGGCCCTGGCCATTTGGGATAGATTGCTACAGGGGTTACCTAGTTCAGCTTCCTGCACTATCGG